CCGCGGCGAGGCCTCTCCTCAGAGCCGCCCGCGCCGCCCGCCCGCCTTGTTGGCAGTGCGTGGGGACGCCCTGACGGCGGATGAATGAAACTAATTGTCCCTCTTACTTGGTTATGAAAAAATGACACGTGCGCGCTTCTAAATTAAGTCTTCTCGCACAAATTGCTGGCTGCCACCGTGAATCGAGCAACGTGTGTTCTGACTGCCGGAGAATGAGCTCTGGAGAAGGGACTGCGAGGCTTTGTTTGCAGCTCAACTCGCGTCCACTTCTTCCCTGCTTTATCTAAAGCTAAGCGTGCAGGGCGCGGCCTCTCCGACCTCGTGGTGAGAAGGGCGCGGGGCTCGCTCGGGGGGGGGGGGGTGTGCTGTCCTAAGCTGCGCAGGAGGGGGACCGGCGACCCTGTCCGAGGAGTGGGCGGCTCCCAGGCTCCCGGGCCGGCCCTGCGGTCCCACTGCCCACGCCCCTGGGGAGGCCGCCGGGCCGGGAGGGCCAGCGGCTTCTGACCGGCGTGTGTGGGGGCCACTGCCACGGCCGCCCCCCGTCTCCGGGCATGGGGAGTGGGGCGCGCCTCCCGACTGCACCCCACGCCGACCCCCGCACGCTCCCCGCGGTCAGTTTTCTGAGCTCCTTCCTGTGACCCCTTTGCGAAGTGCCCTGCTGGGCATCGTGGGGCCGGTGGTGGGAACAGGAGCCGCGGCCGTGGGGGAGGACGCGCCCGAGCGTCCACCCTGCAGCGGAACACCAACGTGCCGGCGGCCCCTCCAAGTCAGGCTTTCAAGGAGCGGGCTGGACTCGGAGGTCGCCAAGCCCGTGGCCGGCCTCTGCCCGGCTCCGTGTCCCGCGTTGTTGGGTGACTGTTTAGAAAAGCGATGCCGTGGCCCAGGGGAACAAGAGGAAGCTGCAGGGCGCTTCCATGGTGCCGTCTGGGCTCCTGGCCACGTGCCGTGTCCGGCGGGCGGGGCGACATGGCCGTGCAGGTCACCCCCCACCTTTGGAGTCTGCCACCCCCGCCTGCGAGCTGAGGCTCTGGGTCTCCGGCCGCTTCCCCCCAAATCCTGACTCCCTCTTCCCTGCTTGGGCGTCCGCCTCTGCTGGACATGCGCCTGCTCAGGGGCATCAGAGTGGGCAGCGCGTGGGCAGGCTGGAGGGAGGGAAGTAGGAGGTGTGTGGAGATGGGAATGTTACAGCAGGCAGCAGGGGACGCCTCGTGGGAGGAGGCCGTGGGGGCAGGCTGGGCAAGACCGAGCCGTGGTGTCCACTTCCGATTGCCAGCAACCGCACAGGCCTGCGTCCGCCAGCACCTCGTCTCTGGGCTGCCGGTGAAGGACGCTGTTGGGGCCCCCCAAATTCATAGGCTGAAGTCCTAGCCCACGAGCCTCATTATGCTCCTGTAGTAGAGAGGCCTGGGTAGCGCGATTAAGTCACACAGGTCATTAACGGGCCTCATGCGGCCCGACCGATGCCCTTGTAAGACAGACAGGACTCGGACACGCAGCTGGGAACAGCGGGCGGGAGCAGGGGACAGCGTGTGCACACCACAGGCTCCGGGCACCCCAGAGTCCCGCCCCCGCCCCCCGTCCCAGCCCGGGGAGCCGCGCCTGCTCTGAGGCCCTCACTGCGGTCCTCGCTCTCCCCGGCCTGAGCTCGGCCACCGCAGGTAGCTGTCCCGGCAGGCCCACCGGCGGACCCTGGTCACTCGGGGCCCCTCGGTGTCACCGAGGGCGTGGGCAGCACGCGTCGGAGGCCTGCGAGGCCTGCAGCTGCTGTGCAGGTGCTTCGCCAAGGTGAGAAGCGCCCGGGGTGTATTGACCAGCACCTGCTTGAGGGACCGGACCCCCGCCACGCGCCAGGCGGGCCGTGGGTGCGGGTGCATGGCCAGCTGGGGGCTGGCCCTCCGCGGGGCCTGTGCATGGCTTTGGGCTGCGGCCCCGCCTCCCTCCCTGCGTGCCAGCCACACCCCAGCCTGGAGCCAGCTGTGTTCCCACAGCCGCCGGCCAGACCTGTCCAAGGAGTGGGACACTCCCCAGCCAGGGTGTCACTCCCCAGCCAGGGTGTGCGGGGGCCTGCCGCAGGGCCGAAGCCTTCCTCGCGGGCTCACAGAGCCCGCCTGCGGTTACCGCGCGGCCAGTGGTGGGCGGCCTGAGGCTGGACCTGGCTGCTCCTTTGTCCTCTCACCCGAGGCCGCGCCGGCGGGCAGGGCTTTGAGAAGAGGGCAAAAGCGGGCTGGCCGGCAGGGGGAAGCGGCGGCCGTCAGGGGCCAGGGCAGAGCGAGGGTGTCTGCCCAGGCGTGAAGGGCCTGGCGCTCTGGGCCGCTCGAGGGACGCCGTGGGGGCCTGTGCTGGGGCCTGGCACGCGGCAGGTCGGCACTGGACACTGCCCTTCAGGGCAGGGCGCGCCACGGGGGCGGGGAGTGTCGGGTCAGGGTGTCAGCCGGTCACTAGCGCGTTGCCCGTGAGAGCGGTCAGCTGCCCCAGAGCACGTGTGGATACGGACGTCCGTGGCCTGATTTTCCAGAATGATTCTTTTGAAATTAATTTTATTAATTTCGCCTAATGCAACTGCGATACTTAAACATCAGCTGTTTTCGTCCTGGGTTTCTGCAGCACCGAGTAGGTGGCTGAGCGTCGTCGGATGGGCGCTCCGGGTTCTGAGCCCGAGTCTGCCGTGCCGCGGCAGGGCATCTTGCCTTAGCGAGTGTGGTATTGCTGGCTTCCATCCGCTTCCAGAAAGTGTGTCAGTAAAATCACTAAACAGAACAGAACATTCCCAGCTATTTCAGTGGATCGCTTACAACTGAATCATAAAACAGTTTCACTAATTTTCTCTTAACCTTTCAAAATGGTTTATTAAAAAGGAAAGCACTTCATTCCTATCCAATGTTTTTACTTCTCTTAACAAAAAAGGCAAAACCGAAAGTGTTCAAGGGGGAAAAAAAAACAGTTTTTCTGAGCAAATTCGCTTGAACTTGTAAAAGCACAAGGTAAACAGAGTCAGTGCCGCCGAGTGCCGCCTGGACGGCTTTCCCGAGAGCGGCCGGAGTGTGTCTGCGGTGGGAGCCGGGAACCGAGGGACGGGTGGGGTGCGGGGGTCCTCGCCCCGGGCCCCTCGGGCCTCATCCCGTCTCGTCCAGCCTGGGGCAGGTCACCGCACAAGGGAGAGGACCCCAGGTTTCTGTAGAGCTGGACCCCAGGAGAATTCGCAGAAGCTCACGTTGGAATCCCAGTCGCCAGACGGGACTCGAACCCGGGGCCCGCGGGGCCTCCCGGAGAGACCTCAGCCCCTGGGCCTGGCCCGAGCCGTCTGCCAGCGGGGTCCTGGCACCCCGTGTCAACGGGAGCAGTCTCCCAGTGTGCGTGGGGAGCCTCCTGGGGCTCCCCTGGGGCTCGCGCCCGCGGGCGCCGTGGGCGAGGGAGGGGACACCAGGCACAGCCGGCCAGAGATGCCTGCCCCTGCTGTAGCAGCCTTCAGCCCGCGGCCGCCCGGCCTGCTCAGGGGGCCACGAGGGGGAACCACGTCGCCGGAAAACACGCAGCGCTCCCGAGAGGCCCTGGGGATGCAGGCGCCAGCCTGGCGTCCGCTCACACTCGAGTGTGACGCTCTCAGCTTCCTGCTCTCTGCTGACATGTGTTCGAGAGCTCCAGGCTCGACGCACGAGGCGGTGCGCGTGGGGCTGCCTCGGGGCTCGGCGTCCTCCCGGTGGCCGGCTCGGCTGCTGGCCGGCAGCGGGCCTGCCCTCTGGCCCTTGCACTGGATTTACTGAAGTTAGAGGTCAACATCACCATCCTTATCGTGTTCCACTTACAGGTTGTTAGATGGAATTTTCCAGAAGTGAAGCTGCCTGGCTCTCCTGTGTCACAGGCTAGAGTCACTCATGTTCTTTATAAAGGACATGAAATGCTCGGCTGTCTGGTTAGCGAAGCGGGAAGACTGGCTGGCTTGCTACCGCACAGGGAAGCTGTGACGGTCAAAACACAGGGCCCCCAGACTGACCGCTGGTTTCTGGAATGTTCACGCGATGTCAGCGGCATCGTCCCTGTGATACCGAAGTAGACAGCGTCCGGGGCGGTGCCTCCCGCCTCCCTCTCTGTCCTCGGCGCTGAAGGACGCGGCCTCGGAGCCCAGCACGTGCCATCCCGGCGCTCTGGCCTCGGCCGTTGGTTTTTCTGTGTTTCGGGACGCGCGTTGTGCTGGCCCTGGCCCTGGCCCTGGCCGGCGCGCCGTGGCCAGATGGGCCTCGGGGCGGTGCCCGCTGCCACTGCCGCCCTGTCGCCCTGCAGGAGCGGCTGCTGCTGTCGCTGCTGCCGGCGCACATAGCCATGGAGATGAAGGCCGAGATCATCCAGCGGCTGCAGGGCCCCAAGGCCGGCCAGATGGAGAACACCAACAACTTCCACAACCTCTACGTCAAGCGCCACACCAACGTGAGGTGGGTGACTGCCCCTGGCGGGCGGGTGCAGAGGGTGACGCCCCCCTGCCTTCCCAGGCCGGGACCCCACTGCCTCCTCCCCGCGCCACCCCAGCCTTCTCCATAGGATAAAAAAGCAGAGTCTTGGCCGGGTCCTTCATGGCCCTGCCGTCCCTGGCCGACCGTCGGTCGCGGGAGAGACGGGCGGACGGTGGGGCCCTTTCCTGGAACCCCATGGCCTCTGGGTGTCCTGGAGCCCGGGACAGTGTGGCAGTGGGATCAGAGGTGGGGGTCCTGCTGCTGGCGCCCTGCAGGTGCCTCAAGGCCACTCGCTGCTGAGCCGCCTTCCCCGCCGCCATCCCAGAGCTTTATGCTGCAGGGAGATGCAGCCCCGAGACTGCAGCCCCACAGCGCCGCCTGCCCGCAGCGTCCACACCGCCGTCTGCTGCGCGACACGCGAGCTGACATTCCGCGGAAGCCCGGCTGCTGCTGCACCGTGTGTGCCCCGTTTCTGCACTGCCCAGCCGCTTGTCCCCACCCCTGGCTGCGTGAGCAGTGCTGTTATGAACTGGTGGGCGGAGCCCTGGGCAGCTCCAGATGACCTACTGGCGTCCGCCCGCCTCGGGCTCCCTCTCAGAAGGGGTGGCCATTCCACACAGCAGATTTCCTTTAGTGCAAGCCAGACTTCTAAAGGTGCCTGAACAAGGCAGAAATCTACATGAAGGGAAGAGCCAGGTGACGCTAAACTTCATTTACCACGGTTTGTTCTGTCTCCATGGGGATGTGGCCGGCCTGGAGGACGCGCTTGTCCTCCACACACTGCCCGTTCCAGTCGCTGCTCTCGGTTCCTCGGGGCAGGCACCCAGGAGCGGAATTGCTGGATCAGATAATTCTATGTTTCTATTTTTGAGGAAACCACACTGTGTTCACAGCAGCTGCACCATTTTACACTCCCACCGGCCACGCACTAGGGGTCCGGATTCCCCGGATCCTCAGCAACACTTACCATTTTCTGTGCTTTGATCACACCCGTCCTAATGGATGTGAGGTGGTAATTTATTTTGTTTCATGGCACATCTTAAGCCATAGCGTCTTCATTATCTGAATATCAAACTGCAGCAGGAATCTCCGACTCCTCTATGTGTCCTTTACACAGGCCATAAACAAGTCAGGGTGCCTGTCAGGCCGTCACACGCGCCCTGGCGCGGGGCGTCCCTAGCCGACACCCCCAGGCTAACAGGACTTCCAGAAGCCTCACACTTGCCTGGCTGTCGGGTCGGGCCCAGGAACTCCCGTTCCTGAAGGACCTCCCCGGACGCCCGCCCGCCCGTCCCCTCCCCGGCCCCGTGTTCTCCTGCTCTCTGGCCACGGCCCTGCATCACCCCAGGGAAGCTCTGAGCTCTACGGGGATGAAGTGGGTTCTGGTACAAAGAATCCAGAGTCGTTTGTTAAATCATCCTTTTTTGAACAAGATTTTTGTTTTTTTTTCTTTGAATCAGTAGCAACAGGATTTGGCTTTTCTTATTTTGCTTCTACTTTAGGGATTTTCATAATATAACTTCTTGTAGCAGTGCAGGTAGAGCCTGCACATTGGATACCGGTGTTGACAGTGTGATGATGGTCAGAATGGAGACGGAGGGGAGAGGGCGGCCAGGAGGAGAGGGCGACAGTGGTGCGCTACTTGGCCTCTTCTCCTCCCCTTTTCATATAAAACCTGGCCTAAAAAAACAGGGATCGCCTTACAGAGTGATGTGCTCCCTCCCTAGAGAAATGGTATTTTCCTTATGAAAGTGTAAAGAGAAAGTGTAAAAAGGCTACAGTCTTCCGGTGGGCAGAGTGGTCATCGCCTCACAGAGCGGACTTGTGAGCGCCATGCCCGCTCGCTCCCACAGCATCCTGTACGCTGACATCGTGGGGTTCACCCGGCTGGCCAGTGACTGCTCCCCGGGAGAACTGGTCCATATGCTCAACGAACTCTTCGGAAAGTTCGACCAAATTGCGAAGGTGAGTATTAGTGTCACCTTCTCCCTCGAGGGTCGTGACTTCTGTCCCCCGCCCTGATCGATCTGATCAGTTTTCCTGGAGGCGCCTTTCGAGGGCTGTTTGGAAATGCGTCGGCCCTAGCTGCCGGCGCGCCTGGTGAATCCCACGCGCAGCAGGAATGAGAACGCCGCGGCATGCAGCATGCTGCTCTAGCTGAGCACACCGGGGCGTCCGTCTGTCTGCCCCTCGGCCCCCAGGCCTCCCTCTCACCGCTTCTACGCCAAGACTTAGAAGCTCGTGTGGTCAGGCAGCGCCTGTAGGCCCGGGGGGGTCCTGGCCGGCCCCAGCAGACGCCCCTTGCAGCCTCGCCACTGGCTACAGCCAGGGGGGCGAAGGATGCTTCGGGGAGGGCCGTGCTCGTTCGCTGCAGCCAGTTTTCGGTGGGGAGGTTGCTAACAGATGCCTTTCTCTCCCTGCCAGCCTGTTATTTCTTACCAGACAGTTTCGGTCTGCCCAGTTCTTTCTTTGAATTGTCCCAACCAAAACCACCTCCCTTTGCCGTGACGACTAGTTCCCTAACGTTCATCAGAGAAAATTACATCGTGGTGTTGACGATTGGGAACCCAGAAACACGGGGGACTGTGAGTCAATAAAGCGAAATTGGTGATTCCCAAGCGGAAGGGTTGGCCCAAGTTCAGTCCCCGCAAGGCCCGTCGCGCCGTGGCGCAGCGCCAGCCCCCGCCCGGGAGTCCGCCTGGCGGCAGCTGGGCCCAGCATCGCCGGGGCCAGCCTGCGAGCGTCTCTGTGCTGCGCGCCGGGCCGCTCCCGCTGGAGCCTGCAGTCAGGAAGCACAGCGCCGCTCCTTCGCCCACAGGAAGGGGCCGTGTAGTCGGAAAGAAAGGCCGAGACCGCAGCTTAAATACTGTCTTCGTCCCGAAGTGAGTTCAGAAGCGTCGTTGCTGTGGGACTGACTGGCCGCCTCCCCAAGAGGAACCCAGCCACGGCCTGTGGCCACAGCACCCGGGGCCACATGGACTTACCCCCGAGGTCCAGCGGGCTCCTTTTATGAGAATATCAGACCTCTTCGTAGCTGATTATACCTGCACCCCTGCTTCCCCAGAAGGCCACCCGCTCTCGGGGAAAGGGTTGTTAAGACACCCACATACGGATTTGGGGTGCACTCAGCCCATTCCCCATAGCAGAGGTCCTCGGTGCAAGCTACTTCTGCTTCTGCGCTTGACTGTTTCAGGTTTGTGTCATGTGACCTGTGACCCACCCGTGAGTGGGCTCACGCAGGGCTCACTTCACTCAGGAAACCTGATCCAACCCCACGTTGCAGGGCTGATGCACGGCGGCCAGTGGGATTTGTCCCCGGGAGGCGAGGACGCTCCACGCGGCCGTGGGGTGAACCACGTTAAGAGGAAGGATAAGAGTCATGTGCCGGCTCAGTGAGGCAGGAAAACATCTGACAAATTAGCCAGCTTTCCTGGTGGAAACTCTCAGCCTTGCAGGCATTCGGGGAGCTCTCCTCAGCATAGTAAGGTCATCCACGAGAGACCCACCACCGGCGCAGTGCTCGTCCTGACAGGTTGAGGGCCCTCTAGGGCTGGAGGTAGGAAGCAGGTACTGCTCTCAGAAGCGCAAGAAGCGGGAAACACGTCCAGATCTCATGGAAGTAAGAGCGTCTCTGTGGTTGGCAGATGGCGTGACTTCCTAGACAGGAAGCACGGAACTATAAATGAGCTCAAACGTTTCAGGGCACAGAACCAGTGTATCTGCGTTTCTGTTAGTAAAGTGCCTGAACAGGAAATGAAGGAAGCTGACTCCAGCGTGTCAGCATCGGGAAGAATAAAGCGCGTGGGGATAAATTGAACCGCACAGGTGACTGCCTCGGACATCGGCCGTCATACACGGCGACGAAAGCCTCGGAGACAAAAGCGGAGCCGCCTCCCGTGTGCTCGGGCTGAAAGAACAGAGTGCTGACGCCCCATGGCCACGTCATGGCCCGCTGCAGAGCAGCCTGGTCAAACTCCCAGTGGCATTTTTCAGAGAGAAAAGATACCGTAAAATGTGTAAGGAACCAAAAAGGAATCCCCACAGCCAAAGCCAGAGACGTCACAGCTCCTGGTTAAAGCGCAGACCTCAAAGCCGCCGCCGTTCACTCGTCTGAGGCTGACCTGAAGGCAGAAACGGACCCACAGGCGGGCGGGGGCCGACGCGCAGGGCTGCGGCGGGTCGAGTGGCCGCTGCTCGTCTCGTGTTGTCTGGGCCCAGGCCGCCCTGCGAGGCACAGGAGCGAAGCCTTGCTAATAGGTAGCCACTGGCCTGTTGATTCCTCCCGTCGTCAGTGTGGCGAGGGCTGGCGGGGAAGGCCTGCGGGCCGTCGGCAAGCGTGGACGGCCCTACTCATGCCCTCTCAGCTGCCAAGGGGAAAGTGCAGGGCAGTCAGCAAACCTCACAGCTGCTTCAGAGTAAGATGTTACGCTCTGTTATTGTGGCAACGACGTGCGAGCCAGCCCCTAGCCTGTGTCCTGCAGGGTCAGAGAAAAAAATCTGTCAGGCACATCTTGCGTTTGCTTTTTATTTTAGGGAAGATTCTGAAACAGAACAGAAAGGTTAAAAAGGCCCGTGGGCTGGATGCCTAGGGATGCCGTCCGCCCAGGAGGACAACACAGACACGACTGAGTGTGACTCAGTTCACATTAAAACGCCGTCGCCTGAGCGGGAGTTGGGCTCAGGTGACGGGCGGGCTGCGGGCTGCCGGACCCTCCAGGCGTCACGCCTGTCTGCTGGCGCCACGCTGCTCGGCCGTGGGCGGAGGGCCGTGGTCGGGAGGACGGGGCCGCCGAGTCCTGCCCGGCGTGGGCACCGCCTCCCGCCCCGCGAGTCTGCTCTGCGGCATCCTCACCCCCCCCCCCCCCCCCCCCGCGTCTGGGGGCTGCAGACCAACGAGGGATCCGGTCTTTACACTCCTCCGCAGGGCTCAGCGAAAATCATTCCAGAACATTCTCCTGCTCTCCCTCCCTCCCCCTTCCCGTATTCTTCGCTTTGGCAAACAGGCACGAGGGTGGGCACAGCTCTTCCCCGTGGCGGAATGACGGAAGGCGCAGCCGGCCCCTTCCCGCTCCGGCCCTGCTCACGGAGACGGGCTGCGATGGCGGCGCGCCGGCCGCGGCCTGAGGCAGGTGCTTCCTTCCTGCAGCTGAGCTGCTGTGATTTCCTCTTCCAGGAGAACGAGTGCATGCGGATAAAGATCTTAGGAGACTGCTACTACTGCGTGTCGGGGCTGCCCGTGTCGCTTCCCAACCACGCCAAGAACTGCGTGAAGATGGGGCTGGACATGTGTGAAGCCATAAAGTGAGTGGGACCCGGCAGGCCCAGCTGAGCAGCTGGCGCTTGCACTCCCTGCTTCCTCCTGTTGGCTGTCACTACTCGCTGGTACAGTTACTGGTTTTTAGGATGTATTTATTTACGAGCACAAGAGCTGGGGTGTAGGCCAGAGGTGCGGGGGCGGGGGGGAGAGGACTCCCCAGGGGCAGAATGGGGAGCAGAACCGGTGGATGGGTTGACTGAAGCCCACTGCTGAGGGGAGCAGCGGGGAGACAGGAGGGGTCTGCTGCACCCTGGGGTCCCTCCCTGCCCGGGGATCGAACGAACGCGTGCTGCAGGGGCTGCGGACCGCTCCCGGTGCTGCGTTCTAACCGAGGGAGGACCTCGCTTGTGCATGTAAATATCGCACAGGCCATTCGTTGTGACGTGAGCTCGGTCCAGAGGAAGAGCTGTGTGCAGTCAGCTCGGTTACAGCAAACCGAGTCAGGAACACGAGGGGGTCGTGCTTGTTTCAGAGGTGATCTGTTCATGTCGATCCCTTCTTTATTCTTCAGGACAGCGTAGACTTTGGACATCTCTCGAGTTCTGAGAGTGGCTTGCACTCGTAAAAGAGAAGGTAGCTTTTATCACCAGAGTGCAAGTCCTATCTAAATGCAGCCCCAAATTACGTCCACTTACCTAAAATGCCCAATTCTGTAAGCTTAGTGGCAGCTTATACCCATCACATTTTCTGCTTTGTAACGGCAATGTTTTTCATTTTAACGCCAGCAAAGGTTTGCTTATGTAGAATGGAGTAATCGTTACAGTCGGCAAGAATGGGCTAAAAATCTAAGATTCGAAGTTCGCTGTGCTTTCCAGCCCCATACTAGCGCGTCCTTCTGGAAATTCTCTCGGAGAAGCCAGAATATCCTCGTCACGATGAAAGCTCTTGCTTGTGGAGTGCACGGTTGGCCACATTTATCCCAAGTTGACTGGATTTTCGGATTGTCTATTTTGGTAAAGTGATCTCACCCTGCTCCCCACAGTTTGGTGTAAATAGGAATTACGGGCTAGATGTTCCGATTCCTTGCGTTAGGCTGGAGTGAATGAGGCTCTAAGTGAGACGACAGCAGCAACTGTAGTTGTCACGGTCTGTGTCCACTGCTTTGTTGCTCGCGAGGAGTGAGGGGGAGTTAACAGCGGGGTTCCCGGTGCAGTGCAGAGAATGGCACACCCCGCTCCCCGCCCGCCCCCGCAGCTGCCACCGCCATGGGCTCAGGAAACAACTCTGTCCTTCCTGCTTTGCCCACGAGCAGATCCTTGGTCTTCTCTGGTGCAGTTTTCTTTACTTTAGTTCAAAAGTAATTCACAGCACTACGTGGCCAGTCAGTGGTGAGTGGGCTTTCTCGGGTGCACGCAGCCTGGAGTCACGTCACTCTGGGTTAGGACTTTGGGAAATGTCCCTCTGCCCGGGTGGTGTCGAGGCCAGGGTTACTGGCGTCAGTAGCGTGTGGGACTAAGCAGTCTACCCATCGTTTCACGGACCCTTCGTTTCTTTGGATTCAACTGTTTTCTGGTTCCCTTCACTCCACTTTGTTGACAGGATTTTCACACCTGTCTCCTTCATCGCGAGTATCTTTTTTCCTGTTCCCTTGTGGTGGTGGTTAAATATGTACAACAGAAAGACTGCCCTCGGCGCCATCTCCCTGTGCACAAAACCAGCAGCCGGCTCCGCGGTGTGCAGCCACAGCCTGGTCTCTCCCACATCCCAAACTGCTCACCGTGAAGTTAACTCCCCGATCCACCTCTCCCCTGTCTACACCCCACCTTCTTTCTCTGTGAATACGCTTACTCTAGATAGGTCATGTACCGGCTTATTTCCTTTAGGATGTCTTCAGGTTTCAGCCATGTTGCACAATGTGCCTGTACTTTGTCCCTCTTCCTGGCAGCGTAATACTCCATCGTGCAACCCCGTCTGCTTGCCCCTTGACCTCTGAATGATAAGCTGTGCATGTCCAGAGTCAGTAATGTCAACAAAGGCCAGGGGACATCCTGGAGCTCTTGCTTATAACTGAACACAGGCTGCGAATCCACGGGGGAAAGGGGTGAGGAAAATACACATACTTGGGATCTGCAGTTCTGCCAGGTTTCTCGGGCACCTTACAGGAAGCGGCCACGTGGGTCAGGAAGGGACTGCTGGGACGCCCCCTCCCGGTCGGCCCTTCTGCGCCGCCCCCCACCCCCACCCCGGGGCTGCAGCAGCGCTGGTGTCCCAAGGCTTAGCGAGACGGCACCCCATCTGGGGATGTAAGCAGGCGAGCTCGCAGCCCCCATTGTGTGGGTGATGGCGCTTCCTTTACACTGGGCATCTGCCTGGAGGGCTGCCAGCCCCTTGCACTCAGCCTTGCTCTGTGGCTCACCAGACTGCTGGTGGGTGACTCACTGAAGCCTTGATGGGTCATTTCTCTATCAGAGACACAAAGGATATGGAGATTGTTTCAAAGCGTAAACCCTTCACCAGCCAGTTCTGCGAAAACGGCCGAACTGGGCTTTGTCCTCTGTCAGTCACTCGTGGCTATCTGTGGACTGTAGATTCTGGCTCAGCAGTGCCAGACCGTTATTACCAGTCGTCAGGATCAGCCCTTCCCACAGTCAGAAGCTCAGGGACCCGCAGGCGGCCGAGCTGGGCCGTGCCTGTGGGCGGGCCTGCATGCCCTGCTTGGCCAAGGGTGACCCTACAAACACCGGGGCCAGTTCTAATGCTCCGAGGGCAGGCGGGTACCTGCCGGGGTGGGGCACATAGTGCCCCCGGGGCGGGGTCCCTGGAGGGCTACCTGCACCCCCAGAAGGAGGGGGAGTGGAGCCTTCCTGGACAAGGCTCTGCCTGAGCAGGGGCCTGGTCACCGGTACCCTTTTAGCTGGGGAGGGGAGGTAGGGGAGGCGGCAAGTGGTGAGTAGGGAGAGGAACCCTGGGGCACACAGGCCCAGCGGGGTGGTGTGAGTGGGAGTGCATCCGACGCCTACAGTTACCAGAAGCTGAGCGCAGGGGCCGTCACTCACGCCCCCATGCGTGGCAGGATCTTGGCTTTGTGAATCCCCTGAAAAGGAAGGCGGGGGGGGGGGGAGAGGGAAGGGTGGAGAGGAAGGGCTCCCTATGCTGTCCAGGAGGCCATTTATTCTTGCACATGAATTGCTCCCTTTGCTAATTCTCGGCATGCTGGACAGGGCCATCGCGCCCTTGACGCGTGCCATCAAGCTGTGTCCCTCACAACGGCCGGTGGTGTCACTGTGTCCCCACAGCACACACCCAGCAGCCCTGGCCCTGCGCTCTATCCCCAGGAGGGTCGGACTCACCCGTGGTCCTCTGGGGTGACTCCGCGTCATGAGATTGGGTCACGGGGTGTTTGAGTGGGTCAGGGTATTTACCTGGCAGGAATCAGTGCGCCTGGCCACGCCGGCCCTTCCTGCGCTCAGCTGTCTCTGTGACTGGGTTGCCGACAGGGCCCAAAAGTATTTTTTTAATTGTTTAATGTTTTTTAATGAGAGCTTATGCATTATGAAAGCTTTTTAAATAGTATTCCTTCTCTCTTTTTTGCTAAAGAAGGTGCCTAATTGAAAAGCTTTCATCGCATGGTTATTATTTTTTTTGAATCTCTATTCAGGCTAAAGCCGTAATTAAGCTCGCAAATAAGCTGCATTGTTCTCGTATCAGCAGAAATAGTTGCCGAGGGGTTGCCTGCTGAGCACGGCCTCCGCGGCCTCCCTGGCGCCACGGGCGCCCTCACGCGAGTTCAGGGGGCAAGTGGCGAGGCGCCCTCATGGGACGGGCTGGTGCCCTTCCTCTGGGTCCACACGACCACCGTCTGCCCCAGAAGCAGGTGCAGTTCCCTGCAGTCTGAGGAATTCAGAAGGAGCCGCCTGGAAGGCGGGCCCGGAGCCCGAGGCCCGGAGGACACGCTGGGGTGACGCTGCTTGCCTTCTTAGGAAAGTGCGGGACGCCACGGGCGTGGACATCAACATGCGGGTCGGGGTGCACTCCGGGAACGTCCTCTGCGGCGTGATCGGCCTGCAGAAGTGGCAGTACGATGTGTGGTCCCACGACGTCACCTTGGCCAACCACATGGAGGCCGGAGGGGTGCCCGGGTGAGTGCTGTGGTCTGTCCTCGCCTGGCAGGGGGTGGGCGCGACCTCCTCAGCGTCCCCTCAGTCTGCTGGTGCTGGCAGACTCTGACCTGAATCACATAAGTGTGAAGCTCCCACCCCAAGCCCACTGCCCACTGGCCACCAAGACCACGAAGTCCAGCTTATTCGTTTGCAAAATTCTGGCTTGAGAGCTAAGGCCGACAGTGAGTGCAGAGATGGCCCTTCTCTGTGACCAGTCACCCTGAAGCCAGTCTGGCAAGCAGCCAGCAGGCCCTGGGCCAGTTAGGAAAGCAGCTTCAGACCAGCCGGTCTCGGTCTGAACCAAGTGCTCTCACTGGGAGATGTGAGGGCCAGCACTGAGGGAATGCGCATTTGCACCAGCGTGTGCACTTAAAAAGACATTACTGACACTCACAGTTCACGGTGGTCCAGCCTTAGTTGCTGTCCCTCGCCACACCTGCCACACAGCTTGCGTGAATATGCAGACACCAGCCACTACTGCTCAGAAGCCTGGAGCACCCTCCCAAAGTGCAACCCTAATTACGGCCCATTTTGCGAGACCATGTCCTTCTCCAGGGGGATAAGCGGTCATTTCTGACCACACATGATAGAAAGTCTCGTGTGTGTGAGTCCTGTGCTTCATCGTGGTTGCAGGCGCGTTCACATTTCGTCAGTCACCCTGGAGCACCTGAACGGCGCTTATAAAGTGGAGGAGGGAGACGGGGACGTCAGGGACCCCTATTTAAAGCAGCACCTCGTGAAAACCTACTTTGTCATCAACCCCAAGGTCAGTATCGGAAAGCTCCGCGATTAGCCCCTGACTTGCATGCTTGCGCGCGGGCTGGGGGCAGACCTCTGCGTCGGGCGTGAGCTGTGCGCTGCTCTTGCGAGTCTTGGCCTCCAGAGTGGCCTTCGATGCGTGTAGCAGATTAATGAGCTCTGCAATATGAAGTCAGTGTTTGCTGAGGGGACAGGCGCAGGGAGTGTCTGGGGAGGAGACGCGGCTGTGTCTCCTCGGCCACTGCCTTAGTCCGCGACGTCGCCGAGCGGCCACCTAGGAGAAAGGTTTCCTTCGGGCTTCCGGTGGAAAGGCTCAGGCGAGACGGACTCGGCCGAACATACAACAAAAAAGAAAACAGCTTGTAAAGATGAACCATTAGCTACTCCATGTGCGTTCACGTGAAGACAGGTATGGGCGCCCCTTTGCCGCCCCACATTCCAGAAGTCCAGCGCCCACTCTCCGGAAGTGACGCCCACACTCCGGCAGTGACACCCACACTCCGGAAGTCCAATGCCCCACACTCCGGAAGTCTAACGCCCGCTCACCGGAAGTCCAATGCCCCACACTCCGGCAGTGACGCCCACAC